ACATATAATTTTTTCAGAATTTTTCAACATTTTCAAAATCTCTGACAAACGTCCTTAAGAAATTCAAGCATATTTCAATAGTTGCCCCACCGCAGCCATCTTATAAAGCAGGGACACCTGTAAATGTGGTCTGTCGTACGTCGCCCGCCGACGTGCAAATACACCCGTTACGCTAGTCGAATTTCAGTCTTCGCTTGTTCGCAAGGTACGTTATCAAGCCAATTACTTATTATACTTCGAACGATTTCACAAAATAATCGAACAGAACGAAAAGGAGGTCGAATTTGTAATCGTGCGATTCTCCGACTGGTATTAACTGTAAAAATATTATTTTCTAACTCAGCACCGATAAATATTTGTAAATCATAAGTATGACAGTTCCAAATTCGTTCAAAAATCGAAAATTTATCGTAGTGTGCGTACGGTTTCTCGTTCGTATTCATCTTTTTTTGTACATATGCTAAACGCGGCTACCAATTATGTACCGCTGAAAGTAATTTAGTAAATATCGCGTGCCCGACGGTCCAAGATGTTAGAAATTGAGGCGTTCTCGGCAGTAATACTGATTTATTAAACAGCAATTATAAATTAGGAAACGGTGGTGGATGCTGGATACTGAACGTGGCCAGCGAATCTAAAATGGCGAGAACCTTCGTACCGTTTCTTCTCGTCCTGGGGATCTTCCAGACGAGTTTTCTGCTCGCAAATACCAACGACGAGACAGTATATTCGAAATTCAGGCTGCCGTCCGGCATTGTAACACCGACCGCATACAAATTGTACCTTAGGCCTAATTTGTCACGATCTATATTTTGGGGTGATGTGGATATCACGTTAACAGCCCTGATTACGAGCAGTAACTTGATATTGAACGCAAAGGAAATGATAATATACGGCGTTACGTTCGAGGATTTGAATACAACTGAGGTCTTTGAAAATGAATACGTGGAGGACAAAGAGCACGAGATCCTGAACATCACGATAATACCCCAGTTTCTAAAGGATCATCACTACTCACTTCGGATAAAATACTTGGCAGTTTTGAACGAGGACATGAAAGGATTTTATAGGAGCAAGGTCATACAAGGTGGCAAAATCACGTAAGGCTGCTTTATTATTGTTACTATTATTATTAACAAGCATAAGCTCTTTGGAGTATATAAAGGAAAACAAGAGAAATGTGACAAATTTGAGATATTAACAATAGATGGCAAAAGTATAAACTTAAAAAAAACAGATAACAATATCTTAGTAATTACAATACAAATTTATGTATAATACAAACTGAAAAGAAGATAGGGAATAAGAAATAGAATACTCTATGAAGACAACAATATTAAATGATTTAAGTTGAATTAAAAATAAATTTAATGATAATTAATTAGATTCTTGTCAAGATTAGGCAATGAGGAATTATATAATATTTCGGATTTTTAAGCACGAGAAAAGTTGTAGTGTATCAATTTAAGGAACGATATTTAGTAGAAATGTACGAGAACCGGAAAATATCGAGAACGCGTTGATCGGGATGAAACGAATTCTCGAGAATTTTGGCATTTCCGAATTTCATGTTTCAAATTTCGATGACTCGATTACTATCATGAGTCCCAAAAATATCAAGCGGGGTGTGAGATTTTCGATAAGTTAAGTGTTCTTCAAAATTATGTTATAAAATGTATTTATTCATTCTGGTATTTATTTATTTCATATGTTACTATAGAGTAATAGAGGTTGGAAAATAAAGCGGAATTAACATACCAAATAAATAATAATTACCCTTTTCGTATAAAAATTTGAAATAGAACACCATAATTATTATCTCTTGAACGTTTTCGAGAAACCTAAACATTCTTGACAATCTCGACATTTTCGAAAATCACGAAATTTTCAAGAACCCATCCTAAGCCCGAGAAAATTTCTCGTTCCGACATTTGCGACTCCTTATACACATTGAGTACTTAATAATAATGTCTTACAAGCATGTAAAACTTATGTTATGCATTTTTATCCACTATACATATTTTTACGTTTTTATTCGTAAATTTTGCTATAAATGTATAAAATCTACAGTTTATTTATTATGAGTTGTTCCATTTCCTGATTTATTGAATCATATATTTCTTATTGTATTCTCTATTTATTCATATTTATTACATCTCAATTTCTGTTCATGTTACAATTTCTACTTCATTTGGTTTATTTTATTATAATTTTATATATTACTTTAAAATAATATAAAAATAAGTAGATATTGTCGTTTGAATAAAAATTGGGACATATACTTTAATTCTTGATTTTTTTTAACTATCAACTCAAAGTGTTTGATGGATATATATAATTTAAAATAAATTTCCATTTCATTTTACTGAACTTAAACAATGATGATTAATATTCGGACACATTTCAAAACTGAATTATGTTGTTAATGTTGGATCAAACAACTTAAGGTTTTAGTAGCTATACAATCTCTGCAAAAAATTATACGTCTTACGACTATGCTATGAAGGAATTTTGAGTGAAACATGCTAAAATAATTATTGAAGTCGATTAACTATTAGGTTCTTCTGTATTTTGAAAATTGGTACTATTATTGTATCTAACTTTTAACCGAATTAGAGCTTTTGCATGTGTCAATCGTGAATTTATAACAATATTTCTTTTTTTATCTTCTAAGTATTAATTATTATTGTTGATAAAATATGTTCTTAATATTTTTATTTTTATTTGACTTGCTCAGTCCATGCAAAATCTATATTTCTTCAGATATATGTATATATTCTTATAGGACAATCGTAATTTAATTCGTACATATCTGGTTAGCTGTCTAATTATAAATAACTTTGTGCATTCTTAATATCTAGCCTTATTTATCTTAATTATATGGGCTAGAACTATCCACTTTTCATTTTTGACTTAACATTTACATGCTTTCTTGAACTTCCTCCTGCATTGGCACCCCTCAAGATCTAGTCTTTATTCAACATTTTGTTTAAAATATGTTCATAATATGTGTGCATTTTTGTTCAGTCTTATAGTTACGAATGTGACTTTACTTTACATTATTCTAAATTTTACAAACTATCGGTTCTATTACACGCATATACAATTCAGTCCATCACACATTCATTGTCAATTCTATCTTATCCAATTTATTTATTCTATTTTACTGTTGGCTTAATACTGTTGGCTTCATATATACATATGTATGATCTATTTAAAAATAGAAGTATGTATCTATATGTTCTTGTATGTATATATATGTTCCAATATTACGTTTGAACGGCGGAACCGGTTATAATGATTTTACAAATTTGACATATACACATATTTCCGTTACTAGAGTTAAATTATAGTATATGTTTAATTTAATTTGCACGCAGTAGAGAAGGGCAAGGTTTAGAGAAGAGCGTGATTTGAAAATCTGCTGTAACTCTGTTAATATCGCTAACGTTTGCAATAAAAGTTACAGAATATTTCATGTTCTACAATTTTTGCTTTTATGCTTTCTTCAAAATTCTTAACAGATGTCAAGCAATTTAAGTTTATCGATTTAGATTAAATGTAGCTGGCTTTCGAACATAGTTCTCCTCTAAATTGTATACAAACTTTATTTTCCTATTAGCTAAGTCGTATAAATACAATCGATCATTGTTGACATATATGATATGTAACGCGTTAATCTCTCATTTCTTCTGCCTGATAGAAGGTTGGGAAAATAAACACCCAGGCAACGCCGGGTAATTAGCTAGTATTATAGAATTAATTACTATTGTAGGGAATTCCAAAATTCTGACACTATTTTTATTCAATTTAATGTAACTTCATTTCATTAATACATATTGACTTTAAATTGGTATAACTCCAAAACGAGCTTCTTAATTTTTTTCATATTTGGCGTAAATATCTCTTTATCTGCATAATTTCAAATACTTATAAGTTGTCTCAGAGAAATGTATATACCTTTATTAAATAATATATGTAGATTCTATTACATTTTGAAAATGAAACGTACTTGAATAAACATCGACTTCATAATTATTTAAAGTGTATATACATTTATTTGGGACACTGTACGTGCTACTGTTTTAACTTATAGTCAAGAGAACCATTACTACTTTTAATCAAATTCATATAAGTATTGTATAAAAGCAGCTTTCAAAATTTTCGTGGAGACTCCGGCGAATAACAATTTCTTGTTACACATTAAGGTAAATATCCCAATTTTTGTTTATGTCCCAATTTGTACTCACTGGCTTATGTTTCTACCATTTTAAGATGACATATAAAATTATAGAAAAATAGTGAATATAAATTGGAACATTTAATTAAATGTGCAACAAAACATTCGTGATGGATGGAAGAAAAGAGACAACGTAATGTATTTCAAAAAATTTAAGGTCGCATATAAAATTTGTGGGAATTGGAAATTTTGTGTGATCGGGTGCAAGGAAGAGTTTAATAATAGATATATATTCAACTAGAATAATACTTAAAATACAAATAACTCTCTCTTTCGCGATGCTCTCATTGCCACGCTCTCGCATGCACTACTGTTTCAGCCGCTCGCACCTCGAGGTGGGTTTTTTCTGTTTTTCCTCGCTCACTTTCTAAAAAGTAACGATAAGTAGTTTAGTTCACGCCGCCGAATGTCTATAAGCCAGGTGTTGACAATTGATCCTGTCGTAAAACATTCTTTTGGTCAACTACATGGCTTGCGTGGATATCCTGCACTCCCACAAATTATATGTATAGAGATACATCAATGAGTAAAACTTGGGACTTGAATAGAAATCGGCTTATTTATCTTATACAGTAAACTAAGCTTTCCGAAAAAATTAAATTGTTTATTCCAATATTGAGAAACTTATTCAATTCTGAAATAGGTACGAATACAAATGGAACATACTGTATTTATACTAAGTTGTGACATCAAGAAATGTCTGCCTCCTATTTACTCAGATTTTGTCAGATACTCTTTGATTCTTTTAAAGTGTCAAGTCAAAGCATTTATTTGATTCTTAATTACTTTTCATTGTGATGTACTTAAGGTAGCTCGATAAAATTTGCAAAAACATATACGATTTTAATACAAGTTGAACTAAACAATAGTGAAAGTTTCGAAGTTTCATTTTCCGTAAAGAAAATATAGGGTTTCCGTGAAAATTGTTTAAAAAATGCATTACAAACATCTTATTTTTAACACGGGAGCTTATGGAAACTTTTGTATAAATGCCTGGTACGATTTCATACCATATAAGTTTTCAATAAAAAAATAGATGGTTATAGATTTTCTTACAGGGAATGCGATGATGTAAAGAGAAATATAGGTTTCTGTGGAAAAGAACGAAATAATAATGATCAAAGCCAATGAATAATACTTTTATCACTCCATCATCGCCCCAGTCGTAAATAAGAAGTTGTTTAGTTTACTTTGTTTATACTTTTTTATAATATAAGATTAAAATATATAAATATGGTAATGATAATATACATTTAATAATGAAATTTTCACTTCATATTGTTATTTTAAAATTAGCCTCTTTTGATGTTACCTAAATAGCGAGCTACCTTAAGCGTTTTATTTAATGTCACATACGAGAGATAATTAGTTACATTACAGAAGATTCTTTGTCTTTTTTGAAAAATTACTATCTGTCTCTGTGCGAATTAAGTAAAACCCAATTTTTCTTCCATTCCAGCGGGTACATAGCAACGACTCATTTTCAGCCGACGTTCGCTCGACAAGCGTTCCCATGTTGGGACGAGCCCATGTACAAGGCGAAATTCAACATCAGTATCATGCACAATAAGACGATGAAAGCGATCTCTAATATGGATGTACTAAAAACAGAAGAAAAAAGTGACGTGATAATCACTACATTCAAAGAAACCCCAGTCATGTCTACTTATTTGGTAGCATTCACAATAAGCGATTATCAATTTAAGGAAGATAAAGTCGGCAACTTCACCTATAGGGTATGGACGAAGGCGAGCGCGATAAATCAGACTGATTACGCTTTGAAAATGGGTAGGAAGCTTCTAGAACAGCTGAATTTGTACACGAATATGTCGTACCAGACGTACATGCCAGACAAAATAGATCAGGTCTCGGTGCAGAATTTATTCGGAGTCCCTGCCATGGAGAATTGGGGCCTCGTAACTTACAGGTACTTAGAAATAATGAAATCGCGATCAAAGTGCAACGGGTTTTATTGTGTATCGATCTGACATGACGGATTCGAAGTACAAATTGCTTTCCCGATGGGATTGACGATCGTTTACAGTACAGAAATAAGCAAACTCGTAGTAACAAATTAAAAAAATACTTGTGATTCTCCTTTCCTTGTAATGTATCACTTAATCGAATTGTACGATCGAATCGCAGAATGCTATCTAATTCTCATTAATAGACTGCAAATTTTACGCATACATAGAAGAATTAAATGTGCCAGAAATATAAAGAATGCGTCTGATTTTCGGAGGATGAAAGAATTCTCAAACTGGATATCATTTCTTAAATTGACAATGTAAATGTTTCATTTTTTTTATAAAAGTCCGCAGGACTAATAATGGTTGATTCTTTAATATCCTGATAGAACGTGTTGCACATTATCTACGTTTAAATTCTTAAGTTTTTAGTATTTACTTATAATTCAGCGTTCCAACTATTATACTTATTTTACACTAAATCGTTAACTCTTTCGCTACGACAGTCCGCTCCGCTGAAGTAGTCCCACTGAACGGGATACCACGCCAAAAAATATGCACATTGCCGACTATAATTATACAGGGTAAACCACGAATCGTGATCATTAGAGATTATTCTGTTATTAGCAGTCCAATCGAAAATGTTTCTATCAGGTACAGCATGGTTTCAAGAGAGCTTTCACGTGATTATAGCAATTTTTTGTCGGCTCTTTTTTTTCATGATTTATCAAGGCCACCTTCAATTTTTTGAAAATACACCTAAAGTAACATGAAAGTTATGTTATAAGACTTATCGAATTCGTCTTGAAATCCTCTAATAGATAGGCGTAAAAAGATTATAGGTGCGTTTGCAAAAAATTGAAGGTGATCTTGAAAAATTATGAAAGGAAAGAGTTGACAAAAAATTTGCTGTAATCACGTAAAAGCTATCTCGAAACCATGTTATACCTGATGAAAACATTTTCGATTGTACTGCTGATAACAGAGTAATCTCTACTGCTTACGACTCGTGGTTCACCCTACATATTTAATACATAATTGATGCTGATTATAGTCATCGATTCACAGGGGACGTCGCGTGGATGCCAACTATAGTCGGCACTCGTAGCGAAAGGGTTAAATAGATGTCATTCTGGAAATTCATTCATTCAAGTAAATACATAGATATAAAAACGGCTAGTACATTTACCTACAGTATTATAATAGGAAATATATTATTTAAATAATAGAATGTTTTAATGTAATACTGTGTTAGATAAAAAGTATAGATGTTACAATGGTCACTTTTCGCTGACTCTAATCATTAACGATGAGGCTGGACACCTCTGAACTCGAATTTCCATTTCAGAGAAAGATCTCTTCTTTACGACGAGGCTTTAAGCACAACCCAAAAGAAAATGGACATACTCACGCTCATCGCTCACGCGTTTACTCAACAATGGTTCGGCAATGTCGTTACCCCGAAATGGTGGAGGTATCATTGGCTGAAAGAGGGATTCGCCAACTATTTCGAATACTTCATTGCTCACAAAGTAAATACGATACTCTAATCTTTCTTAAAACTGACTTTTATCGCTATGTTTTTTTGACATGGTACTTATAAATGTTGGGGCATTGTCATTTCTTTATTCAGCTATTGCTAACATGCTGGAAGTACATAAGGTGTATTATTGTGTAGCTGATTGGAACTGCCAGACACATGCTCTTTCTTGTAACTGCCATATTGTTTTATTCATTATCTGTATTTTGCGTTAGACGGAGGGAAATTAAGCAGCATCAAAAATGAAAATTAATTTGCAATTGTAAAGTCTAAATTACATTTTGGCAATTTGTTTACAAAATTTATAACACTTTTAAGAATTACCAGCTTTTAAATTGGTCTTTTCTCGGTCACAAGCATCGCACTAGTGTTCTTACAACGCTGGATCCTTTGGGAATCGATGATAGAAAATATTCAATATTTTAATATTATCACTCTAGTAACCATTATAATTTTTAACAGCGCAGCCTGGCATTTTTGTCGTTTTAATCAGTTTTTGTTGTTGAACACAACAAGTAGTCATTTCTCGATATGGCCATCCTATGGAATGCGCAGACCAGTACCATCGGAAAAACGCATATTACGTATTTCTACCATGATTGTTACCATTGTCAGGCAATAATGTCGTTGAGTTGGACATCTTTACAAACCAATACAGTGAATGTCACTATTTCTACTCACTGACGTATCTTCATAGAGATTTATCTCTAAGCGTACCTTCCTATAATTTTACATGCCAATTTATCATTGTGGGATCGTACGTGCATTATACAAAAAGTAACAGGCGCCGTTTGGTGATATGTTTGATGAATATTGAATACGAACGTTCGGCAGTACACACTATGATACGAAGTGTCTCGACTTCTTATCTGGTCACGACTGACGAGATCGAAAAGTCGACCTCATTAGCAGGGTAGAAAAGAGAAATGATAGTCGTTGAAAAGATGAAGAGCATCGATGGAAAAAAGGAAAAGAAACATGCGTAAAATCACGGATGAGAGTAATAAACAGAGATAAGACTTAGCGACCGAAACTAGCTCACAATGAAGAATGTTAAACAAAGTAGAAAATTAAGATAGAGAAACGACAGCCTAAAAGAACACGTGTCCGTTGCCAGATGCTATAACATGATAGAAAATGGTACCACCGGAAGACTATCTTAAGTGTTTCTACCATGATTACTATCACTATCAAACACTAATTCCGTTGAGTTGAACATCTTTAAACGCCAATTCAGTTGATGGCACAATTTTCACACACTGACGTATCTTCTTATAATTTTACATGTCAATTTAACATAATAGAAAAACAAGTCAGTGAGTAGAAGTTGTGACGTGAACAGAATTCATTTATTGCAGTATCGTTTAAAGAACGAGTTGTGAAAATCAAATGTTCTACAGTTATTACTACCTACCACATTTAGATATAATTTTCAATATAGCAACTAATGATGAAATCACAAAATTCAGATAGCACCTGAATTGCGATTGAACGATGTGTTCGTTGTGGAGAGCACGCAGATGAGCGCGATGGTCGTTGACGCGCTCCCGGGGATGCGTGCCTTAAATATGGACGTTTACAGCCCTGAAAGAATCCTTGTGCTCTCTGACAGCATCGTCTACGAGAAAGGTAAAGAACAGAAATAAAAGACATCGTTCTAATCTCGATTAGATACATAAAAAGACAAGTAGATACATAAATTTGAACAGTAAATGCAGTCACGATGGTTTTAGTTTAACATCAGTTAAACAGAAACACGGGGACAGATAGGTATTAAATTAGCAACGGGTTTTCTTTTTATTCATTAGCGAGATATGTTTTCTATTCTTATCGATCAGTTAAGACGTTCTAAATACGGCCGGATTATTAAATACGCAGGCTTAACAAGCGCAAGCAAAGCGAGAAAGTTAATAGTCTGAATAAATTGATAGCATTGCTTTCTAATAACTTATCAATTATTAAACATTATGAACAGTCTGTGAACTAAAAATTATGATAAACGTATGATAGGTGCGTATATTTTAATAACATCATAATAAATGCTTCCACAAATTATTTATTCATTAATTTCTATACGGGATTGTAAAGCCCGTTGTTAAACAACAAAATAACGTGAAAAAGGAAATATAAATCCTAAATAAGCCTTGAGTAAACATTATTATGTTTTATTAGTTAGCCTTGTTAATAGACTCTCCACCAATGTGCATACAACTTAGAAAATAGCACGGAGTGACTGTGAAAAGCTTTGCAAAAATTAGTACAAGCAGCATTCACTTGCATACTCTTTATTATGAGTGCTGTTAATTCCTTGCCAGTTTATTTAATTTTCAACAGATAATTTCCACATTGCATTGTACTTATTTCGACAGCAAACACAAATACCTATTTGTATGATTTGCAGCTGGTTCTGTTGTCCGAATGATATCCCACGCCATGACGGAAGAGGTTTTCCATAAGGCCTTGAAACTCTATCTAACAAACCAGTACGTATATCTTTATACCTGTATAAAATAACCCTTATTGAAATAAAATAAGAAAAACAAATATTGGATTGGATGGATTGTCCAGCAAGTTAGTTCCGGTTTTTGATAGGTGGATCACGAGATATATAAGTGTATGAGAATGACTGAAAACAAATGACATGTATGTACACTCCATTGAACTCTATAAAAGTCACACTCAGGCACTATTACAATGTGAAACAAAAATCGTACTTACTACATTTTGGATTTTAGCTAATTTCATTTCAAAGATTGATTATTTATTCTGAATAAAATAAGGACCAACATGCCTTGCAATGTACCTTAAATTAAACATTAAAACGAATTTCATGTTGATTATCTGAGAATTAGCTACGTAGTATTGAATGGCGCAAACGCGTATTTTGCACTATTTTTAGGGACAGGGTGTACAAGTTGCATGAAAAAGTGTGGATCAAAATAGCACATAAATAATTCCATAAATCAATAAATATATATCAAAATTTAAAGGTGCAGCCATTAAATTTTCTATAAAAGTCGGAACAAACTTTCTTCTTAAACCTCTGAACGATAATTAAATAATTCC